AATAATAATTTTTATCACTAGAGCTAGGAATTATATGGATTTATAAATTTTGTTAATTTATTCTGAACACGCTAACAGTCAGTACAAATTTTTATTAATCGACTTGAAACTTAGTAATGTGTTGTTATCGAGGTTATAGTTTTAGGACGAATAGGGAATTTTATCCTCCCTAAACCAAAAAATATTTCACTATATAATCCTATGACCTACACACACTTAGAATNTATAATCCTATGACCTACACACACTTAGAATCCTTCAAAGTGGCTCAAACAAAATTTATAAATGCATGTCATCCCGAGCCCTGTAAGACTAATATATATAGATATATTAATTACCAATATTTGATCAATCATATACAATATATCGACTGTTTGTTGAGCAATGAATTAAAATAAAAGTTTCGAGAATATTGGAGAAACATCTAGAATCATTTTTCAACATAAATAATTTTCAATTTTAAATACTTTTCTGACCGACAATTATTTTATCACTTTTTACAAATATATCGAACATTCGGAACGATGTTTACAGTAATGTCAAACTTTTTAAATACCATAAGCGTATTTGTGGCGCCGAACAAACGACCGGATAAAATAGTTAAATTCTCAAGAAAAACTAGTCTTCCTTCTAGTTAATCACCTTACCAACTAGTTTAATATAAAAGGACTAGGAAAATTAGCACACCAGCTCATTCTCATTCATCATTCCCCCATACTCTTACTCTTTCATATTAAAGTTAATAATGTATAATTCATGTTACTTTTGTTAACCTTAATTATAAGTCTTACACATTTGTTAAAAAAATTAATTCAAATCATAGAAATAATCTCAGTATGTTTCCCCTCATACCAGTATTTTTATTAACTTAAAATATAGACGTCAACAAGGAACATCATAATTCATCATCTATTTTCGAGTCCATCTGGATATCAAGGTAAGTGTAGTTGTAAGACATGCCCTTTATTTTTGTAATATTAAGAAATGGGAATGAGTGGGTAAGAGGTTGGATTAAGACGATTTGACTGAATCCAACACAATCCGTATAACAACTATAACACCTCCCCTTTTTCTCAACCGTCGCGCTTTTCTTTTTATTACAGATTGTTAGTCGGCCTAAACGTAATTTGATAAAAAATGTTCAGACTCAGTCGATTTGAAGTATCCATAGGTTATTTTCTTGTTTTTAGGTAAAATAATTTGTTGATAGAAAAGGCACTTACGCCAGTTAGCCTGCAAATAATCGATATGCAAGTCAATACAGATATTACATAGATGACTTAATACCAGACTTAGTATAATTATTGTCAAAACAAATAATTTAATTTGATATGTTCAAATAGTCTATTCAAAAATGACGTCTAAAATTTAAATAAATCCACGGAACAATAAATATTAATTCATTTTTATAGGTGCCTCGAATGTGATGCTTTCATATCATCACATTGATGTTTTATAATTTTTTCTAGATAGTTAATTAAACTGTTTATTGTACAATACGGATTTAATATATTTTTGATTGTAGTCAAAAGAATATTTCAATAATAATTTACCGAGAAATCATTTAAATAGTCAGAAATTCTAAAATAACAAAAAGGAGCAGTATATTTTAATTTAATTTTACATTACTTTAGAAATGTGTTGAAATTGAAAAAAAAATTGTTTGAAGTATTATTCATAGGCAATTACTGGAAATTATTTTTCTGTTTTTAATATTGTTTTTATATTTTATTTTATAAAATTATTTAATCAAATAATAGAGCTTTTCATTAATACATTTATTTATTACAACAAAATGAGCATAGGTAGGGTGTTTTTCGAGGTTGTTGACATTTTTTTGCTTGCAAAAACTGGTAAATGTCAAATGAAATTATTACTTCAGTAACAGGGGTCTGCATTGTTTCAATTTTTAAGTCACACTTTTGCTGCGTTTCTTTTGTTTATAGTAGGTATATGTCAGGTTTAACCTTTATACCTAAAGCAACATTTTGAATATTATTTATTGCAATGAGGAGTGTGCACATAACATATTTTTATGCAACTTTTTATAAAGCGAGAGAGTGGAAACGAAAATGTAATAAAGCAAACTTTTTAATAATTTATTCAGTAACTACAACCAAGACATTCCATTTATTTAACAAAATAATAAATTAATATTATTTATTGCTCTTCCTTTTATTAAAAACAGCTGTTACATTAATCTTAAATCTACTTTAGATTTATTGAATAGTAAAGTAAAAAATAAGATAAAAAAAATCTTTATATATAATAATACAACGAATAAATGTCTTGTTGCAAAATGTTTTTTAACTATCTAGATAGTAATGTAATAGTCTAAGTTAATTGTTTATAAATATGTTAATTACATAATAATATATGTAAACTATATTTTTTTAATGTCATGAATATTATTTAGTTACGCTTGGTTTGCTAACATAGTCATTATTACAATCTAAAAGTTACTGAAAATATAAAGTTAAATTATTTAATGAATAATTTATTTCTTAGAATATTATTTTTTTTAATTAAAATCATTATGTTACATTGGTTATTTAAAATATGAATATTGGTATCAAAGAGTAACTAAATGAAGTTTACTTTTGGTAAAACTGAAATGTGATAAAAGTCTTTATCAATATTATACGATGATAAATTGAAATTATTAATAAAAAAATAAATTCAAATTTTCACTATACGTATTAACTTATTCACTATATGTGTTAATCACTTTTGTCAATATTTTATATTCCCTGAATATCGGAATTCCCATCCAAAAAGGTGTCTAAAATTTTTGTAGATTTATTAATTTCAACATTTTTTTTTTTTTTTGATAAAAATACAATAATAAAGATAAAGACAAGAGCGATTTATTAGTGAACACAATGGTTTAAGCACCAAACCAGCCTGGGATTTCAACCCAAGATTTGAAACATTTAAATTGTAATTATACGCTTGTATATAAACATATTTTTACTGTACACAACATTATCCCACCTCTTTCAGACTTCCGGTGTTACATTATTTTCCCTTGTATCAACGTACCAATTTCAACAACGGATGGCTACATAACATTACCATGTGACGGATATATCAGGCTGTAACGCTTTTACGGTACTTGAATTAGCTATTAAAAATTTCAAAGTAAAATAAAAAACCACTGAAGTTACCCTCGAAGTAAAAAAAAGAGTACTAACGACGTTGTTCTGACTAGCATGAAATATAATATTGGTTTCTTACTTAATGTCTCCGCCATATGGTGGCACAAATATGATTTGCAACGTATTTCCAGGGTCCTCGTAAATTCTTTGTAAAGTTTTTCACTGACAACAAAGCTTTACTTCCTGAGCACGCCATTATATAAGTAAACGATTGAAGTTTTGTGTAAACGTTTTTATAAAGTATATCTTGCATGAAACGAAAAAAATATGTACCCTTTTTGACATATGTGCAATATCCACTTAACATTTGTAACACTTTGTAAACATGTATTCTCATTTATTGTTCATCAACAATTTTTGTACCCTAAATTGTAGGTC